AAAATATTTCAGCCAGAAAAGAGAATAGGCGTAGCAATCGGTGATCAAATTTTGGACTTGAGTGCTATCGCGAATTATTTTGATGGACCACTATTAAAAAATAAGCAGGACGTATTTCGTCGTGATTACCTGAATGATTTTATGTCTCTTGGAAGACTGGCATGGCTAGAAGCAAGATTAAAACTTCAAGAACTGCTTTCTGTCAGCAATCAAACCTTGCAAGATCCGGAAGTCCGCTCAAAGTGAGAAATAAATAAATAAAAATTAATATTATGAATATAATAAAGATTTTAAAATAATCTTTTTAAATCTTTTTTTTAGGGTTCTTGTTGCACAGAAAGATGCGATAATGCACTTACCAGCAAAAATTGGCGATTACACGGATTTTTATTCGTCTCTCAATCATGCCACAAATGTCGGCATCATGTTCCGTGGCAAAGAAAATCCGCTGTTGCCGAATTGGTAACTTTTTAAATGTACTATTATTACGGATTACTTTAAAAAAATCTATAAAATAATATGATTATAGGAAATATTTGCCGGTCGGTTATCACGGTAGAGCAAGCTCCGTTGTTGTGTCAGGTACACCTATAAAACGACCACGTGGTCAGACACTTCCAGTCGAGGATGCAGCACCAGTCTTTGGCCCCTGTAGATTAATGGATTTTGAACTGGAAGTTGCTTTTTTTGTTGGTGGACCACCTACAAATCTCGGTGATACCGTCCCAGCTTCGAAGGCTTACGATCATATTTTTGGAATGGTCTTAATGAATGACTGGAGTGGTACAATTGAATATAATTTTTAAAAATATTATAATTAATTAATATCTTGCAAGCTTTAATTGTTTAAAATATATATTATTGTTCTTGTAAAAAAATTATTTATTTTAATTATTTCAATTCTTTTGTAGCACGAGATATTCAAAAATGGGAATATGTGCCATTGGGACCGTTCGGCGCAAAAAATTTGGGAACTACGATATCTCCATGGGTGGTTACGATGGAAGCTCTAGAACCTTTTAAAATACCGAATATGATTCAGGATCCAACACCATTCCCGTATTTGCAACATGATGATTCCTGTAATTTCGACATTAAATTAGAAGTTGACATTAAACGTGAGTTGATATTTTCTTATCGTTTTTTTGTAAGTGATTTATATTTATTGTTTCTTCTTACATCATTTTTTATATCAGTTGTTTACGATTGCGACTTTGTTTTTGCAGCTCCAAGTGGTGTAGTCACGACTGTATGTCGAAGCAATTTTAAATATATGTATTGGACACCGCGACAGCAACTGGCACACCACACTATTACTGGATGTAACATTAATCCTGGGGATTTAATGGGCTCTGGCACTATAAGTGGAGAAGTGCGTTTAAAATTTCACTGTTTTTAATTGATATTGTTTAATATACTTACTCATGTTTTCTATACTTGTATTTTTATAAAATCTTATATTTATTTTTTCTACAAGATGCAAATTATGATTTTATTTTATGCAATTTTGATAATATCAGATGTGATATTTGTTTTTAGACTTCGGATTCTTACGGTTCTATGCTAGAATTATGTTGGAAAGGCATACATCCCATCAAATTAAAAGATGGTACCGTAAGAAGATTCCTTCAAGACGGTGATGAAGTAATAATGCGTGGTAAAAAAAATAAATTATTTATTAAATATTTACAATTATAAATAGCAATTTTTAGAAACATTGTTTTTTAGGTTACTGCGTCGGTGATGGTCATAAGATCGGTTTTGGATCATGCACGGGTAAATTGTTACCGCCTACATCGAGTGAACTTGATATATAAAACAAGATAAAATTGTTTACGTATATTTTGTTATTTCTTATATTTTATTATTTCTGCATTTTGGTATGTAATACATTTTTCTACTATTTACATACTTTTGTTTTAATTCTTTGTCGACAGCGAGATTTGAAAAAAGCAGTGATGATATTTAATTTTGACCAAGATTGTATGAAAAAATAAATATCTGATATAAAATGGAACATGTTTATTAAAATTATGTTTTGCTTTTATTACTCTAAAAAAATTAATTATTTCTTTTAAAAAATAATTAATTATTTATTGCTAACTAATTAGATATTTATTACCAATTAATAATTTTACTGTTTTTCTTACGTATTGTGAGTTATATATGCATATGGGACTCATAGTTAAAACAAACTAAACGATTTACTACAATGTGCTTAAAAAGAAATAGTATTGTGTGATATAACGTAAAACATAAACTCGATTATTGATCGAGAGGATAGTCATAGTAAGGGCAATCAATAAGAAGGCCAGTACAGGTGCAGTCAGAAGAAGTATGGCAGGCGTTCTACTTCGGTGAGTAAAAACATAATTATGTTAAACAAGTATTTGTATAAAGGATTGCTCAACACATAAATTATTTCAATTTATTATTGTAGTTATTAACTAGTACTACGTAGTTGTTATCGTATAATTATTTTTATTTCTGCAAATATGAACTGTATCAAGTATAATGTCAGGATGTAACTGCGAATTGGACTTGCATTTCTGGGCAGTAATAGTTTCGTTTTATAGCACTGAAAAATATAATTATAATCACAAATTCAAATAATCGCGGGCTAATAAGAGCCAGAACGCGGATGGCAGTGCGTCAGTTTCATAGAAAAATAAGTTTTCTATGAAACTGAATATGTGCACAGGGCACGAAATTTACTTGGTGTATACCAAGATTTTTTAAAAATTAATCTCAAGATGGCGTTAATAGTAATAGATATTATAAGGCAAATGAGAAGTATCGGTGGTGTGGGGTCTGAATAGCTCAGAGGTAAGAGCAGTCGCCCGGCAAGCGAAAGACTCGGGTTCGATTCCCGATTCAGCGACTTCGCCCCGATATTTTTCTCGCCTTCGTCTCTCCAGGGGGGTAAAGAGGGATTATTATAAATCTCGAATTGAGATTAATTTTTAAAAAATCTTGGTATACACCAAGTAAATTTCGTGCCCTGTGCACATATTCAGTTTCATAGAAAACTTATTTTTCTATGAAACTGACGCACTGCCATCCGCGTTCTGGCTCTTACTAGCCCGCGATTATTTGAATTTGTGAGTTCACTCGAGAGCCTAATTTCTTAAATTTGTTATAATTATAATATTAATTTAATTAATATATCATATAAAAAAATATTCTATTTATATTATATGTAATATTAGACAAAATTATTTTTTCTTAGCTTTTATTAAGCATGTGTGTAAATATGTTATATATTTAAATATTTATATATGTACACGTTATATATTTTTTTTTCTCTTGTTATATTTTTATATTATGTTTAATTATTATTATTTGTGATTTCATTAGTAATATAATTTTAATGCAATAAACAAATACATTTCGTCTCTTTAGTGAAACTAATTTCGAGCTTTAATGCCTCCTTAGCCAACGGTAGGCAACCAACTTGATTACCAAGTATGTTGGTTGCCTACCGTTAACTGAGAAAAATTTTTCGAAGCTACTTTCATTAAAGAGATGGAATAATACTACAAGGAATATACTATCAATACTTTTTGATATTCACGTTTGTATTTGTCTATCATTACTTAATCTATTTTAAAAAAACAAGCTGAAAATTATTATACAATAATATAATTTTGTCGTGTATTAATACAGTTTCTGATAAAAGCTCTTTAATATATCACATTGTTATTTTAATATTACTTTTTTTTATTTTTATATTATATAACTTTTATTTTTCACATTTCTTTAGAAGTCTTCATAATTTGGAAAGTTCGGCAACCGAACCTACTGCCAAGTGGACCGTTCCTTTGAGTGACGGGAATCACGTAGTGGAATTTGAACATGGTACAGCAACAGGCCGACGTATAGTAAAAATTGATGGGGATGAAATAGTTCACAGAGATTGGATGTTTCGTCTAGTCGGTGACGAAGTCTTTATGTTCAATAATACTAAATTCGTGATTAGAGTCGATCCGATGCCAGGTAGAGTCTCATCGTCTTATCGATCTTCGACAATAAATGTTTTATTCTATTCTATCATGACAATTGTGTAAATAGGTCTGAAATATTCTTACTCGTTGTGGGTGAATGGAAAGAGTTACAAGCAATTTGTTCAGTCGCAAACAAAGATATTGGAAACTTGGTTGGCCAAAGTTGGGAACGAAGAATATAGAATCGTGTTAGGTAATTGTATAATAAAAACAATTTATACATATATTTTTATTGAAATATTTAGTTCCTTCTCCATTACATTTATAGACAAACAAGCTCACAGTGTTTGGGTAAATGGACAAGAGGTGGAAGTCGAGGTAATCATAGAATTTTTATTAAGCAATCCATTATATTATTATTCAAATTTTGTAATAAAATTTTACACTGATATGATTTTTAAGTATATGTTTGAGAATTATACGATATAAAAAATTTTATTTAAATTGAACAATATCCTGTACATAGAACGAATTCGTGGATGGCGGTGCAGAGATTCTTTTCTCCGTTGAAGGCTTACAGGCCGCGATCAGATCTTACAGTTCAGAACAAAAAGAAATTGGTATAGCGTATTCTCTATACATTGATAATATTGAAATACAGCAAGAAGTTTTAGTGGAAGAGCAACCCTAATTAAAATATAATATGTCTCGAGCTATCTATAAGTAGATTTTTATATTTTACTTTAATTGATAAGTATACATAGTGGTTACTCATAAATTATATGTATCATTAAATAACTGCACAAATGTGACACACATTTTTTCTTCTGAAATGTGACATATTCAATTCAGTCAATATCAATCAATGTATCATGCAATTTTATGTATATTTTTAAAACTATGATAAATGTAATAAAATTACTAAGCACACACATAATATGGTGTGAATTTATTTACTTTGTGCTTAAAAATACTTGTTGAGAATTACTTGAAAATAGCTGGAAAGAATGTATATCCTTGTTCGTGTGACGTGTAAAAATTGCAAAATGTACGAAATAATTATATAGATGCACGTGTTTGTATATTGTATGTGTGTAATACATATTCTTTATAGTGCAAAATTTTTTAAATAGTCTGTTAAAAAACACTAAATTTGGAGAATAAAAATGTCGCGACAACGAATCAGTGCCTTTAGTATTGGAAGTTTAGTTTTAACCTCTAAACAAGATGAATTGTGTTATTATGAAGGTAAAAGGAAATCTGTGTATAACATGTAATATAGTTATATCAATATAAATATATATGTATATATATAACTATTATATATCTGTATAATTTAATTATATTCTAAAAATCACAGAAAAATTTATTCACCTTTCAGATATGACAGAAACAGAATTGCGACAGGCACTCGAAAATATCGCTCGTTCAAATTTGTTGTTAAAGTTAGAAAACGATGTTTTCGAACGATATCTCGCACGTCGAGATCCTGAAAATCTTCAAAGTAATTTTCTCATATAATTTCTATTTATTCCATATTTAAAAAAAATTGTTTTAGATTGACGTTTTTACAAAAATACTAATCTTAATTCGATCTTTTTAACGTGCTTTATTCAGCAATAGCGCAAATCTTAGAAACCGCTAAACGCGTGCAAAGAATCGCGCCTCAGCGTAGCCACACGTCACCCGTTACAAGTGCAAGCGGAAGTTTTATGAATGTTCAGGACGGAGACAGAGAAAGTGTCGTCAGCATCCTATCCGGAAGTCAGCGCATTACGCCAAGTCTCTTAACAACCAGAACGCTAAGAGCAGGAACAAAGTTAGTCCATTAACTTTTTGTTACTGTGTCTTTGATTAGATAAAATATTTCGGTCAATTATCGAATCATAGAATCACGTATGCGTATCGCATCGAAATGGTGAATACCGAAATTCGGGAATTGCAAAAAGAATTAATGAAGCTCGAAAAAATATCGACGAAGAAAAAAAAATATATACGAGCGCAAATTGAAGCAAATGAGATGAGCATTCGCGAAACTTGTAAAACTAGAGAGGAATTTGAAGAAAACATTGTACATAAAGGCGTAGATAGCATTACGGGGAAAATACCGGCTGAGAAATTTATCAGGTGTTATATATAATAAACGAATCTCGATTATACATATTGATCATTACGTGTAAGCATATTAAATTGACAATAGATACGAGTTTGATGTATAGATTTACAGAAGAATGGTTGAAAATAGCCGATATCACAATAGAACAAATGAGATTGAAGATGACTACCTTAAAGTCTCAGATAAGGAAAGTCAAGCTGCAGATGCAGCAGAGGAAAGAACTCGGCGAGACTCTACGCGCTGTAGATTTTGAACAATTGAACATAGAGAATCAAATTTGCATACGAGAAATCGATGAAAAGAATCGATATCTGCTCGAAATGAAAAGGATCGTGGGTAAGAAAGCGATACTCTGCGATTTCTTCGCAATAACACATAAATCGTTGCATTTGATGCAGGTCGTTACAGTATTGCATTGACCAAGCACAAGGAAAAATTAGGTAACTTGATATCCATCGTGAATGAAGTGAGAAACAACATTGCTTTTAAAAAACAGGAAATTGTGAAACTGCAATCGGAAAAAGTAGCTATGAAGGTTGAAATAAAGAAAACGGAAAAACAGCTCAAGTCAGTGATGGCATTACTGGATGATTTTGAGGTAATATTTTTATGTGCATTTTATTGTGTTGGAAAAATACTTATATAATTATATTTTTATATTTTTACGCGATAAAATGTTGAAGGATTGGAAAGTGAAAGTATAATTATAATTATTTATTACTTCATAATTTATAAAATATTTGATAAATACAGGTTCCGGATGTCATAGATTATATTAAAATGCGTATAGAACTTCAGGAATTACATAAAATCCACAAACAATTAAGCAGGCAAAGAAACATTCAACAAATAAGTCTCAATTCTAACAGATAATAACTGCAAGGCGTATCTCAGCGTTTTACAGAGACATTATGTAATTATTAAGAATATATAGAAGATAAAATTATACGTTCTATCTTATTTGACAGAAACATTTTGACAATCTGTGACTCTTCTATTCTTTTGTATTTCAAGAGAGTCGAAATATCCGCAATTATGCAATATAGATTGTATGTAATAGTAAACATAGTTATGTAAAATCACGAAGGTACAATGTGTCTCCTCTCCTACCGTAGAAAATAGATTTACCGTTGTAGGAAATATGTATTGTGAACAAATGCTTATAAGCAGCGAATCATAACTTGCTCTTCGCGAACTTATATTCAAGGGACTTATTTCTCTTAACTCCATTTAATAACTCAAGTTACATTGTAAATATACTACAAAATTATATTTATGCATTTGGAGTTATGCTTGAGTTTTGTAGGAATAAACTTAAAATATATATGTCAGCTTTACTGTTTTATTATAAAAATAGAATTGATTTAAAATATTAGTGTGTGATATAAAATATTAGTGCGAATTATATAGAGAGAGATTTATAATTATTCTTAATATACTTTATTAAGAATAAAAAAACATCAGGTTTGATATTACTTATAAAGCATAAGAGACAATTCTGTGACAATGACTATCGTACGGTTGTGCTGTCACTGATTACGCCACTAGTAATTAAAGTTACGGTATTTGTCTACAAGATGAAGGAAGTTTGGCTATATACTCTGCTGCGTACAAATTATTACCTTTACAAACCTTTTTCTTTTGATTAATATTTAGAAAAAAATAAAGTACACAACATTCTCTTTTATATATAAAATTTATCTCTTTTCCATGACACAGCTGTGAATTATAACGAAAGAAATTGCAAGAAATATTTGCTTTGCTTTGGTATAATAAATATGAGATCATAAAAATATTGAAGATTTTTATGAATTAACTGTTATGAGATAAGCAATTGCGAAATTAAAGCGACGTAGGAAGATTATGGCGTGTGCCGCGATGCGTTAGACAGTTACGCTTCACGCACCGATAGTGCCTGTCCCTTCCTCTTTTCGCCCATGGAATATCTGTCCCGGAAAGACCCGTCTCTTTTTCTGCCGTGATTCAGTTTTGCCGCGACGACATCGAGTTGCTGTTTCTTCAATCAGTTGCCGAGTGATGACGACGTGATCGATTGTCATACCTAAAGTATATAAATTTAAAGAACACTGTGTCAATCTGTATAACGGGATATCATTCGCGATAATTCAATTTTGTTCAAATTTTTGCCATTATTCGATTTAGATTTGAATTATGGTTTAATCTTCACAAGAAGAACGTGACATAAATTTGAATTTATATGTATGCATACAGTTTTCAGATAAATTTTCTTTTGTTAAGTATTATGTAATTTAAACGCAAAGTGTTTCAATTAATATTAACATTTGCATTGTGATTAAGATTCTTTTTGAGAATGAAAGACATTTTAACGCGTATACGACGAAGCTCATTATGTCACTTATTAATGCAGCGATAAACTTGCAATCAAGAATGGTGATATTGGGGATTCGTAATCTCATTGTTTTTTGCATTGTTTTATTACGAGGGGAAGCTTATGGAAAATATTTAGAGGTAAGATTCTGAATTGATTACAATCGTTTATAACTAAAATTATATCTCTGGTCATGCTCAGAAAACCATAGCTATTATTCTTTCAAACACATCAGTTAACTGGTACATTTAAAATTGTAATTGCCGTTTCATACTATATGTTTAATATGTAGGTTACTGGAAATATACATTTAATCATAATTATCCTTAATTACGTTATGTCCAAGAGAACACATATTTTCTTTGATTATATAATGGCTATAAATAATACACATACATTTAAGTAACAACTTAAAAAATTAAGCAAATTATATTAAAGTATCATATTTTATTTTTAAATATTCTTTTTCTTTATGTATCACTTTTAAAGGGTCTCAATGTAAACTTAGGAGACGCTCTTTTATTTCTGAGAGAATATGATAGTGCAGCTTCGTTAATGTGCACAAGAGTGACAATGGCCCAATGGAATTTTGCGACAAACGTTACTGATGCAAATCATCAAAGAATGGTGTAACAGATTTATTAATTTATACAATGCAATACATAATAATACATAATAATAATTAAAGAAATAATTTATAAATATTTTATAAATATTTGTAACATTCATATGATTTTTATCAGGTGGATGAACAAACATTAAAATTAAAATTTGAAAGGGCTTCTTGGCGGAAAGCAATCACTTTTGCTTGGAGCCGAATACCAGATTCTTTAGCAAGAAGAGAACTTAAAATGATTGTTACAAAAGGTCGAAATTCCTTGTCAGACGATAAATTTAATGAGGTAGACAAATATCTTAAAATAAAAAGAATGTTATTTTTTAATTCTTTAATCAATATAAATATTATTTAAATTGCTATTAAAAGTTAAAAAGATAAATATAATAAAATGAATGTTTACTGTGAGTCTATTTACACAATCGCATTCATTTACGCATTGTTATTGTATTTAATTTCCAGATACACCGTTTAATAGCCGAGATGAAAGAGATTTATATTAAAGCTAGAGTATGTCCGTACAAACAAATTGATGGAGAGTGTAATTTGAATCTAGATCACGGTTATTCATTTAGTTTAATCAATAAATGTTACAAAGAGATAAATATGCATAAATATAATATAGATATAAATTTTATATTTATTTTTAGATATTAATAAAATAATGGCACAATCAAAAGACTATGACGAATTATTGTATTATTGGCATGCTTGGCACGAAGCAACTGGCCCACAGCTTCAAAATAAATATTTGAGATATGTTCAACTGGCTAATCGAGCAGCTAAATTAAACGGTATAACAGGCTTCGGTTACACAAATGTAGCATTTTAGCTTGATATATAAAGTATGTAATATAAAACAATATTTTCTGAAAGAATATATTTAAATGTCGCAAAATGTTTTCATTTTTTTAGGTTTCGCCGATGCTGGCGATCAGATGAGGGAGTTGTTCGAAGATGGATATTTCCAGCAAAATATAGCAGAAGTGATGTCAGCCATCTCTCCGCTATACAAAAATCTTTTTACTTACGTACGATCAAAACTGATTGAAAGATACGGCGACAGAATACGAGAGGACGGGCCTTTACCGGCGCATGTTTTGGGAAATATGTGGGCTCAAAATTGGGAAGGTCTGTTCGAATTGGTGCAACCTTTTCCTGCAAGCAGAAAACTCGATGTAACTGTGGATATAATGATTCAGAGTCTCACTCCAATGAGGTATTATGTTCTGAAGCATACAATACATTTCTTGTATAAATTTGCAAAATATAAACGATGTTATGAGAGAATGTTTTTACGGTAAAAAGGATGTTCCAAATAGCAGAGGAGTTTTTCACTTCACTCGGAATGAAGCCGATGCCGCCCGAATTCTGGAAATTTTCTATATTTGAAAAACCCATTGATAGAGAAGTTAAATGCACTCCTAGTGCGTGGGACTTTTGTAACAGAATCGATTATAGGTCACTTCTTTATTATTTCTTTTTAATTTAATTCTAAATTAGCTTTCTGTGTATGTATATATAAATATTATATTAAATGACAAAATTAATAGTTTTTAAAATTATGCTCTCTTACGTAATTGCAGAATAAAACAGTGTACCAGAGATACAATGGAGGATTTATTATCGACGCATTACGAAATGGCACATTTGCAATATTATTTACAATACAAAGATCATCCATTGTTATTTCGAAACGAGGCCATGCCGGGTATTTTCTTTTTTTGCGTATTATAAAACTTAATATATATTGTATTCTAATTATACTTTTTTTTAAAAATCAGGATTCTACGAAGCTGTTAGCGATGCGATTGGTTTATCTATCTTTACTCCGCAACATTTGCATAAAATCGGACTGTATAAGAATTTAACGGATGATTATAATAGCAACATAAATTTTCTGATGCTAATGGCTCTCCGTAAAGTAGCTTACATGCCTTTTGCTTATATAGTTGATCAGGTAACTAATAACAATCAATTAAATAATTGTAACAAATAATTAAATAAATGATAATTAATACATAATCTAGCAGTTACTTTCTATATTTACGTAAGTTTTTTATGACATGATCTTTTAAGCAAGAATTGTTTTTTAATAACCATAAATTGCATGTATTTATTTTTTTCAAGTGGAGATGGCATATCTTTAGCGATGGCGTAGAAGATATGACAGCACGTTGGTGGGAATTAAGATTGCAATATCAGGGTATTGTTCCACCTATGCCTAGATCTGAAAGAAATTTCGATCCGGCAGCGAAATATCATATTCCAGCGGACAGTCTTTATGTCAAGTAGGTACATAATATAAATCTATTTACTATTATTGCAGGTAGCATTTATAAAAATAAATAAAATTTTCATATTTCTATTAATTTTTAGATATTTTGTAAGCATTGTTTTACAATTTCAATTATTCCAATCACTGTGTGAGATTTCTGGTCATACAGGCGAATTGCACACTTGCGACATTTATAGATCACGGGAAGCAGGTCGATTATTATCGTACGTAAAGTTTACGAAAACGCTTCAATTAAATAGCGTTTTTATTGGAAATAAGTCCTAAAACTATGTTTTTTCATATTTATATAGAGATGTTCTGTCAATGGGATCTTCTAGACTATGGCAAGATGTTATCAGGCAAATGACAAGAGGTAGAGTAAATAGGATAGATGCTGGTGCCATGCTCAAATATTTTGAGCCTTTAAATGAGTGGTTAAAACGACAAAATGAGATGCAATCTGTGATCGGTTGGATCACGAATCGCGACGACAGAGGTTTGATCAAAATTAATATTAATCCACCGATTCCAAATATACTATTCAATAAAAGTGCAAAGTGTATCTTGTAAAAATAGGAATTTTTAATTTTGTTTCAGCATTGTTTGCCGAATGGTATCAAAATAGTGCAGAAAAAATTAAATTATGGAGTTTATTTCCTCTACTGCTTGTTTGCAAAGTTTTTATTTATTAATGATTATATTGAATGTATCCGACAATTCGAAAAAAGTATATACTTATATGTATGTACAAAATTTCTCATATCATATTATTACAAAAAAAGATATTATTTAATTTAAATTACTATATGCATATATGTATATATATATACACATTCTTATATTTTTTAAATTCTAATATATAATACCAATATTATTAATAAATAATAAATTAAATGTTTTATTGTTTATTACTGGTAAATTTTTACATATCCTGAAGTACATATATTATAGTTATATAATTGAACAATTAAAATAATAGTATAACGCACCATTATTATTGAAAAGTTATTCTTTTAATATATTATATACAAAATGCATTGTGCAATATATTTTTCCGTTCACTTAACAGGTCGCGGACTGTCGGATATATAATTTAATATCCGGTGTGAATAAAACATAAATAAAATAAAATTTATTTTTAGGAAAACTAAAAAGAGTAAAAATTAATTATAAAGAATTTGAAAAATGGCATATATACTTTTTTTTAATAAATTAAAAATTGCATATATATTAATTATGTACAAAATAAAATGTAATGTAGACATGTATGTTACATTTTGTTATATACAAAAAATACAATATACTTTTCCGACCCACTTAACAGACTGCGGACTGTCGGATATATAATTTAATATCCGGTGTGGTTAAAAAATATAATGCAAAGCACTGAAAACGCACTACATAAAGATATATTCTAGTTTCGAGAGAGATAATTTTTTTCGCAATTCCAGCTTTTTATTTAGAGTTTCAGGTATCAGCTCATGAAATACAAAAGAAACTCTTAACATTTTTACGCTGATTTACCAATATTGTAAAGAGATATGGCGATTTTTCGCATGACATTTATCGAAAACATGATAGTATACCTATCACCGACCGATCATATAAACATGAAAATATTAATTAATGCTGTTATAATGATTAAAATTTCCTTCGATTTTGAAAGAACATATACGATGATACGATGGTACGATGTACTCTCGATGCCAGCTGATGTGTCATATGGTATCGGTATCAGCGGCATTTAAATAACTTTTCGTTAATACTCCAAACTATAGATGTCACTACTTGCGACATTTTGTTCGTAGTATCGTAATATCTGACAATGAGATTAGTGTGATATGTTACTGTATGTTTTTGTGAATGTATTTATATATCTCACGAATCGAAGATACGGATTGGAGTAAGTTACGTTTGAAAAACTCTTTCGTAAGTTCTCCATATGCAAATCTTTCTTTATGTACGTGACAAATGGCGGCATAAGAATCTTATGATTGTTGGTTAGGAATAGAAGCGGTGTTTTTCGAAAATGGATGTAATCTTGGCTCGCGGACTGAGATTCAGCTCCGATTTAGGCAATGCTTTGTTGCTAACAAAATATCTTCCGTTGTCCGCATGTTATACGTGTCACGTCAGTACAACACGTTGGAAGTCAACATTTCCTGGTAAGTTGAGTCCTGGACATGTTGAATGTCGACAAGTGCAATATTAAAGCTTGTTTCATCTTGCAGAAAGATATCATCGTTACAGGACTGCGTCATATAATCCTTTAGGCCTTGTAAATAATGTACTCGCATATCAGAGATCATCGAGGCAGGATATGAATAAAAATAGTTTTGCTTTGGCATATTATTCAGATATTAAGCAAAGTTCCAAGGGTGAATGCCAAAAATCTCAGACCGAACAGAAGAAAGTATCGGTATTCCAAAAAATGAAACAAATGACCAAAGATTATTGGCATATATTAATACCTGTACACATAATTACTTCTATAGGATGGGTAGCTATATTCTACATTGCCATTAGAAAGTATGTATAAATACAACTGACACATGTATCCTTTGAATATGACAGTTAATTATATGTGAGATTTTTCTTGCATATTTCCAGTGGTGTGGATATAGCACAGCTATTGGAATACATGAGTTTTAGCGAAAAATATATAGAATTAGTACGTAATTCAAGTGCTGGCAACTGGGCAATTACTTATGCACTTTATAAGATATTTACTCCACTGAGATATACTGTTACAGTTGGTATGCATTTGAATATTTTATAATAGACACTTGTTTATATATATACTATTTTAAATATTAATATTAAAACACAGGAGGAACGACAATGGCTATTAGATATCTCAGCAAATTAGGCTACGGAAAAGCACCATCATTCAAACGTCAATCAGCAGAGGTGAGTAATGTTCCTGAAGTGCAATGTCATCTGCTGAGAGTGAAAAAATAAACTATGTTTAATATATAATCATCTCTGTGTCTATATTTGAAATATCCGTTTTGTCTATTCTCTTTTTACACGCACACATGGTGCAGCCTGCGCGCAAGACTATAAGTAGGTCACCGATTAATTTCAAATATTTTGTGCTGATCTCTGTTGCTTTTGCTCTGTGCGAAGTATTCTTATCGCGCGATTAATATATTATAGATCTCTCGCGTTTTCATCAACGTGAGAGATGTTCTCTCCGTAATTGTCTTTAATCGTGTTGTAGCCAGTACAGTCAAACAAATGTGCAGCCGAACACAAGACAAAATTCAAGGCAGAGTGTAAAACGGACCGACACACGGAACCGCCAAAACCATAAATATTTCGCCTGCGCTATGTCGGATTTACGAATTGGGCTCGGTATAGCTTGAGTATTAATTCTGCCGCGCGCGGTATCGATGTATACTTCTCTTTGTAAATGTAACTATATCACGATAAATTATCTCTTGCATTAAGTTGTTTCTTAATGACTTATTTATCCAATCTGTTTCTTACTCCATATTCAATAATAAGCATTGTTCACATACATTATAACAGATTACAGTTACATCAAGAAACATGATATCTCATGGTAAGAATATTTAGCGCGGCAATCTCGCGAAAAAGATACTATAATGTATCCTTCACAAAGAGAGAGAGAAAGCTTTTTTATAGGAGAAAAACAATTTCAGTTATATTTTTTAAATAAAAACAAACATTTTTCACAAAAAAAATATATCAGAGTTACATAGATTTTTTTTCGAGTGCGACCATGTCATCATGAAGAAAATAAATGCATTTTTAGCAGTTTATCTTTATTGAAGGACTGATTCATTTATACATATTGTATATGCAATTTAAATAGGATTACATTTTTATTTACAATTCGCGAGAACTTAGTTACTTAGTTACTATATACTAAGTAACACTTCTATGTTACACTTAGTATTAAGTGTAACATAGAATAATTATGTTTATTAATCTTGGAAAGTAACAATAGTTATTTGGCAGCTCGAGTTGTGCGTCTTTCAATATTCTATAACATTGTCGCTTATCGATATAGCACGCCTACATATTTTTCAAACATAGTTTTCCAGCTTCCGTTGTTTATGCCGCGAAAATATTAAACGCGTTATAGTCCTCGAAGTATATTATATTACATTCTGTCACATATCGATGAACTTTAATATTACGCGAGTCTTCGCAATGAGACGATATATTTGTCCTAATAAATATTATTAATGAATGTTTTATGAAGTACGATGAGACCTGATTGACGGAAAATTCGCAGAAGAATGTTTCCGTCATAAATTTGCGTTATGATATGATAAAAACGCGTGATAGATATATACATGTGCTAAAAAGTATGGAATTGTTGCTTAACAACAGATAATTATTATGCTATTATATATCACAGTTGCCTGCGCAACTCGTTCATCCTAATGAGACTACTGTGTTTGCAACAAACACCCTGACTAAATAAATAAGATTGCATATATTAAATATACCACTTATCTCTCTAGACTATCGGTCCTTGTCTTCAATTAAAAAGAAATGTTCTTGACTCGCATAACTATGTTACATAACTATTCACCGATTAAGATGATCCCACAAGGCAGTGTAATGATTTCGGTTTTTTTAAATATCCAGTCTTAAAGTTATGTCAAAATGACATTTCGTTTAAAAGTCAAAATAATTAAAATTGCACAAGCTTTTGATATTCTAAAAACACACTCAGCATGCGACACATTGCAGTTATTATTTTTTTTCTATATATTATTAAGATGTATTAATTGTATTGATTTGATAATTCATGAGATAGTACCAAACATATTAGCTTATATTATAGATAAACAATGACAACTATTATATTGATAAATGTAAATGTTTGCCTACATGAATGTATTTCGCAAAGTCTGACTCGTATGTACCTTTTTAATTTCACGCATGCAATTGTAAGTGTTCTATTCTGCTATGAGGCTTGTATTTTATTTGATTGATTTCCATATATTTAATTATCGGATGATCGTCACGTGCGCAGTTCGGAAAGCTCCAACAGAAGCTCAAGCACCGATGTAACTTAGCCCATAAACTGATAACTAGCCGACACCGGCTGTGGTGCCCTCGGTTGCGTGTGCGATATGCGTTGGATGTGACACGCACGACACATAAGTCTGCCATCGAGTGGGTAGCACCGTTTATCCGGCTCGTCGGTCAACTGCATGCCACAATCCTCGCAAACGTAGCAATCCACATGGAAGTCTTTGTCCATGGAGACAACCCTGACCGTTTCCTCGGTTCCCTAAACAAACACAAAATAGAATATACTTTATTGACTACAATTAATGTTTGTAAAAATAAGACTAAAATATGTCGATCAAAATCCTTTTCTCGTAAATGATTACAATCGTGGATATATCAATCAGGATTTTATGTTCAGTCTAACATATATATACTTTAATACATATTATTATATGAGCGATGTTTTTTAACAAAACACAATAATCTACTTAAATGGATCGATATTGCTAAGGGATGATAAGAATCAACTTCTGTTATGTTTCGATGATATAATAAGTTAATTAATTTAGAGCGCGCATACCTCGACCGGCGTGATTCCCTTTCCACAAGACGCGCACTTAGGCGCGAACATTCTATGGTAATCGTTTACGCAGTAGATCTTATTGTCAACGTCGACCGTGAAGGGGACGCCATCGAGACATTCATTGCAAACGCAACACCTGAAGCAGCCTGGGTGATATGACTTGCCCATCGCTTGTAATATCTGTGGAAGACAAAAGACGACGTTATTGAATTTACAATGAGGTTCTTACGGATGATAACGATTGAGTCTCGTCGCTTACCATTTCCATAATGAGATGGCCACAAATCGCACATTTCTCGGCTGTCTGTTGGAAGCCAGAATACTGTGAACACACAACAATTTTTATGAGATAAGCGAATCATCGATCGATCATTATTTCGATCATTTTGGCATTTGAATCGGTTTACATACCAAATAATCCTCTTCGCAATAAACCCTCCCGTGAACATTGTAGAAAGCTTTGCCACGTAGCGCCCTTCCGCAGGAACAACATATGAAACAATTGGTATGATAGAGATTGCCCATTGCTTGACAAGCTTGTCCGGCGCCGGTCACTTTCTCACCGCACGTATGACAGATACCTATTACCAAAAGATAATTCAATGTGAAATTTTCATGTGTCATTTATGCTGCATCGCGCGAAATAATTTACAGCCGTTAATTTTTCGGTCGTGACATACGTATGTATCTAACATATGTATCATCGTGGAATAATAAATCACAAATTTGCAAATTTAAAATCGTTAATTCATATTGAAGTTAACAGACTAGTTAGACTAACATTAGATGTGCTTAAAATATAAATTACACAGAATCGCATATTATTTCATGGGACGCGAATTCGAAGCTTATTCGTTGCGCGAGATACAAACACACGGAGTTCAAGAACACGAGACTCGAGGTTCACCATCGAAGGGTTAAAAATACACGCGTCGACAGATGCGAGAATGCACATTCACCAGGGGTCGATCGCTGTCAAAAACTACTCAATCCGTTGCGGATGAATGAGAACAAATAAGCAAACTCACAGCTCTCGATGGGTAATCGCGATCCTGCCATCCCTTAGCGGATGCACTTTCCGTAACTCGCATGCACCCACGCTGACCGTTTCAATTTTGCGATTTGGTTTTGCTAGACCAGTTCTAGCCGGACTAGAATCCGACCAACGAGTCGGACTGGTCTATCTATAACGAGATTACCAGCCGCGCATATAGGACGTACGCAGCGGGGAACGCTGTTCGTCTGCAAGTATGAGCACAACTAGGGGGACATTTACGTTCGCCTAAACGCCTGCCACTTCTCGACTGACATTACTTCGCTCGACCGAGGTTCCTGTCCGCTCGGTTCCTTATTGTGCGCGTTAGGCTCCGTCCACATTTATCTTCCAAGAGTTATAGCTGTATGTTATCCTTCTTCGCTTTTCCTTGCATTGCGGGTCTTTTCAGAAAATAGCGGGGCAAAGCATCTCATCGCTTAAATATAAATATTAGATTTTTGAAAGAATACAAGAAAAGAGATACAATATGAAAAGCGCAGGAGAATTCGCGTAGATGTACATTAAATTGATTTATCACAGAATATTCTTGTTTCTAAACAGTTAGCGTTATTAAATATAAGGGGAAAAGAAAGAGGAAGATAAAAGAAATAATTTAATTTTCTCACACACATTCTGCATTAGACATAATCTGACATGATCCTGCAACTTGCGTAATCGTTGAATCTCTTATTATCGTCCTCGACATGAGGAAGCCAAAGAAATGATTATATAGTTATATCGATATAGTTATATCATCGACGCGCCGGTATTAGTATGAGCGTTACTTTAATGTTTTTAAAGAGCCGTATGTGACTAGAGAGAGAGAGAGAGAGAGAGAGAGAGAAGCGGCCTATTCGTTTATATATACACTTATATGTATACGCGTGCGTGCCGCATACTCGCCCTCGTCCCTTACATAGGAGAGATGCGAAGAGATACGTGGGTGGAAGCTAACGCGACGCGCGAGAGAGTGAATGCCAACAATGTCGTGCTAAAAAGTATCCGCGACGACGACGCACCGAAACTCGACTCCGTTTTCCGAAACCGGTCTACCGCGGACTCGTTACCGTGGGAATTAGCACGAAAGTGTCACGTGTGCCTGCGCTCTTTTTATGGTTTCCCAGAAATATCTAACATTATGGATTCGTTCGTGTCGATTATCATGTCGTGCGAACCCGCGCACGGTGATCGTTTCACTAATCTCTTCTTTCTGTCACCGCAGGATATGGGGAACATAAAAACAAAATAAAAATGTAGATAAAAATGCCGAAGCATAGAAAGATAGCTCAGTCCAAATAAATGACCGCTCTTACGTCTAGGATCGTTCGTTATCGCGCAGAAATATGGAACACCAAGTGCACCGATAAGCTTATTGTTAGTTTTTCGAAATGAACGTCACGCGAACAATCTTTTCTTACCGAAATACTCTCCTTCCTCCTCTTGTTTTTCCATTTCCTCTTCGAGTTGTCTCGTCAACTCCTCTATCTTTCTCTCCGCTTCCGTTGGCCCCTGCGAAAAGTAATTTGTATATAGAAATAATATCGATCAATAAGTATCAAATGTTTTCTAAACTATTATTTCATACGTAATCTAATCGTGAGAAAATTATAAAAAACAATGACTATTACTTGTCTTATTCGGATTATTTACAAAGTAATAATAATATGTTTACGCAAACGAATTTTTTAAACGTTTGATATAACACATAACGTTCTATGCGAACATTGCAAAATGTTTATTGTTCCTACGCGCCATTGTCAATTTTCTAATAATAGATAGACAGAAAGGTATGGGAAAAACAAAAATAAAAAGTGATAAAAATAAAAAAGATAACA